GATGGGTGCATCGTCAATTAGCACGTCAGGGAGTTCGGGTGGTTCATACTCTTGGTCAACAGCATGTTTCAAAACCTCCTGATCAACAAGCTCTTCAATGTTTGCAGCCTTGACATCATCAATTGATGGCGGATTGCTCGAAATGGAAATGCCTGGGTACAAACCTTCTCTTATCATGTTGTACCTGCCTTTGCATGGGAAGTGTAATCCGACGTCGGGAACGGCGATCTGATGGACTCTTAATGGTTGAATCTCCGCACTGAAGTCTGATTCCATGACATCCTTCAATGGTAGAACCATGAACTCCTTTCTCCACACAAAATTGGACTGAACGGCATATCCCAAGAATATCCCTGGGTTTGACGTCGGCTCGAACCTGAGAGAGGACTTGGCTTTGTTCTTGGGGCCGATCCAGTAATCAATCCTCAACCCAAAGGGAACCAAAGGGCCTTTGAACTTCTCACCGAACCGAAGCGACCAAGGCGAACTACCCTCCCGGGTGTCGACGATATTGTTTGCCATGCATGCATGCCTGGCAGCGTGAGCCCAATATTGATGGTGTAGGCCAGCTTGCTCTAGGTTTACCCTTGTTCCATCGATGACGGACCGAATCGATCTCTCAGCCATAGCATTGGTCTTAGAGACGTATGCAAAGCTTGTTTGATGCCTCCATCCTAGCCTCTCGGCAGTCGCGATGAGTTCCGGTGAATTGTCGGAATAAAATACTCCTACATCATCAGTCGAACGGACAAAATGCTTGAAGGCTGCTATGCATTCACGTGTTGATCGACGTGCGGCCGGATAGACATACCTGAAATCCGTTGCCACGTCTTTCACGACCAATGCGACGCGAGCCCCATCGATGTCCATTTCCTCATCGTCACGAATAACAAGATGGTCAGCAGTCAAATGTTGCCCGAAATGATCCGCCTCTACCTGGGTCGAACCACCCTTGCTATACGATGGACGTTTGGTCATCTTTGCTCTCGAGCAGGCTTGACAAAAGGGGTTCTTTGGGGTATGAGTCAACAGATGTTGAATGGATTGTGCTTCTTCCTTGAGAGCTCTCTCTCCCCTATCCCTCTTCGGGTCCAACGGCTTCTCCACCAACCTTTCATCCACCGGCTCGGGATCATCTTCAACAGGATCCTCGCCAATGGGGTTGTCCTCATCGTCCTGGACTTCAATTGCCTCTTCAGCCGGTGACGCGGGCAGAGGGATCATTGGTCGCAGCCCCTTTGACCGATCGTTCGTACCGTAAGGTTGACCTATGGCGGACATTGCAACACCGGTGGTTGATGGCAAGTATGGAACATAATCCTCTACTTCAAGCTTGACTTTGGTTCCGTCTGGTTTCTTGAAGTACGGCCTACTGTAAGCGGGCCAATGGAAGCTCCATCCTGCGTCGATGCAGCGTTGTCCTACCGATACGACGGCTGGGCTATCATCCAAGACATAAGGATTGATATCAGTTCCCAACACGGGAACATTGACTCTGGCTTGATCAGTGGCTTGAAAGACTCCGTTGGCAGTAAGAAGACTGACCGGTTTGGACGATTGTGACACTTCATCCGAATGTAGCATGTGTCTAGATACAAGATCGTGTGCGCTGCCAGTATCTGCAATCCATGCAATCTCAGTGGCTGGCACTGTTGGGCATGACCTCTTCTCAAAACACTTGATGCAACCTATATCAGAGTTGCACAGGTACGAACATTCTGCCGGCAAGGACAACAGCTCGTTCCTGACAGCATTCTGAAGGTGTGATGCTGCAATGGATGCGTCCTCAGTGGCGACACGAACTGCCTCAGCATGCTCCGGTCGACCTGGTGTAAAGGGTCTTCGTTTCTTCTTACTCCGGGGTTGAACGGATCTCCAACTGGAAGAAGACTCAACAGCATGATTGAAAACGTTTGGTTGATCGTCAAAACGAACTCTTTGCGTAACAAAACTGTCAATGTTTTCTGTGTTGTCAAAATCGGTGCACATAGTGTTTGATGCGGAAAGGACTGGCATGGCCACGCTTCCCAGCGGGCGAGTGATGAGGACGGAGGATCCCTGAGAGACCACTGCGGCCATGACCACTGCTCGAAGGAGGCATACCGCTGCCGGTGCATTGGAAGAAGAAGACTTCCCACCTTTTCTCCTCTGACTCTCAGAGCCAGTTGAGTTTTCGGAGCCTGACGATCCTCGTGAGCTGCTTCGCTTACGAGGTTTCTTGTCTTTCTTCTTCTTCTTCTTTTTGTCCTCTTTCTTCGCAGGGACAGTCTTTTCGGGGTGTTGGAATGCGCAGTCTTTTCCTCGGTGGCAATGTCCTGCCTTCCAAAACTTGCAAGTCTCCTTGCGAGATCCTGGTGTCAGCGATCTTGACCGAGATTGGCTGCGATCCTTGCCCTTTCCCTTTCCTTTGCTTTTCTCGCGGCCTTTTTCGTGCTTGTAAGGACATGATGATCCGCGCTTGCATTTTCCGGTCTTTTGGAACTCGTAGCAGATGCCTTTCTTCTCCTCCGGAGCTGGCATGGTTGTGTCTTTGGACCCGAGCGAACGCTTCGTGGCGTCACGCATCTTTTCCAACCTCTTCCGTTCGAGGTAGGCCCGGGCAGCAGTGATCAGGAAGTCATATGTTCTTTCTTTGCTTCCATCGGCTGCACGGTCGTACAAGGCCAAGTCATGCTCAAGCGGCTTGAAACGCTTCACTGCCAGGTGAAAATAGGCTTCCAGAACACTGTTTTCCGGTTCCTTTTTCATTCCGGCAAGAACGCTATCCCATTTATTTATAAAGCCCTTGAGGTCATCGTTGACCATTTTGACGGACATGAGGTCTTCGAGTCCGTAGATTGCTCCATGCTTTATGCTTGTGGCAAAATACTCGTGGAACCGAAGGAGCAAGTGTCTACCCTTCACGTTCTTGTCTTCACGAGCACGCAGCTCCTTGAATGTAGCAATCTGCCGACCGAGGTCCCCCTCAGCGCAATTGGTTAAGCTTGCAAGAAGCTTCGCGTCAAGGGTTGCAAATCCCTCTGAATCATCCAAGGCATCAATGGTTTGGGAATCTTTGTATACCTTCCCAACCCAAGATCTTGCTTCATCCGGCTTCGCTGAAGCTGCAGCAATATTGTCCCTCACCTTGATCTTCCAGTCTCTGTACTTCTCAGGCGTGGGGAACTTGGGAATGAGAATTTTGTCAGCTTCTTTGGCTTTACTCTCATGATCCTTGTCTTTCGACTTCCTTTGCTGCTTCTTCAACTCTTTGCGAATGATGCGTGCAAGACGCGATGAATCAGAGCTTGAGTCATTTGAGTCATCACTCCCTCCTGATGAACTGGGCGACGATGGTGATGGGGAAGGAGAGCGTTTCTTTCTGCGCTCCCTCGAGCGACCCCTCTTAGGGCTCTTCTCTTTCTTCTTATCCTTACCTTTCTTCTTCTTGTCTTTCTTTGATTTGTCACCACCCTCTTCCTCAGCATCGGATGGATGAGGCTCATCACCGCCTTCGATCCCGGGCTTCTCCAACCGAGTGCGAAGGCTCGCTGGAGGCAAAGCTGGGGACACCTGAGACCCAGGTGGCTGCACTGATGGTGCAGGCACTCGGTTCCCCGAGGCGTTGTCAAACCTCTCTCTCAACTCCTTGATGATTCGACTCTGTTCTGCTAACTCTGACCGAAGTGCATCCTCTCTTTGCTTGGCAGAGGCGCGTTCGTTCTCAACGACGGTGTGTCGTTCGAGCGAAAGGCGATCTAGGTAAGCCCGTTGTTCTTGAAGATTTTGATTTTGATGGGCTTGGTTCATGTCACTCAATCGTTGATTGGCTAAAGCCTCAATCTGTTCCCTAGACTCCTGGACAGCCACTTTAGCTTGGTTCTCCACTACGTCTCTAAAATGCCTAGCCTCCTCAGCTACTTGTTGCCCGTGCTCGGCCAAAATGGCCTTATGCCGCAACTCTGCGATCTGAGCTACCTGTGCTGACCTGTCCTCATTGACGAAGACTGCTTGTTGATGGATCTGTCTCGCATCAACGTTCTGGACGTTCATCACAGGAGAAAACTCAGGTTGAAACGGCGATGGTGCTTGACCACTAGGCAACAGGTCCCCCTGTGCACTGAACGTTGGTGGCGCAACTGGTACACGCAACTCCAGCGGAACAACAGGGAGATCAGCAGCAGGTGAACTGGACATCGCAGGCGAAGTAGGAACATAGCCTGATCGTGAGCGGTCACCACGGGAACCATCATCATTAGCCATGGCCTCTAGATAGTGCACTACCTAGGGTGGGGTGAGACCACAGCTAGCAGAAAGCACGTACCGCACTTATGGCGATACGGCTGATAACCTGTAGATACAGGTAAACGACCGATAACTACCAACAAGTCGCACCTGGTTTTCCTTGAGCCAAACGGTAGTAAAGTGAGACATGTATACGACATCCTAGCGTGAAACAACACATCTCACAACGTGCGTCTATCGAAGGGTAGAATCCTGTTCACAGACTTGTTGAAAGCCAAGGATGTCCCTAGTGCACCTGATTAGAAAACGTTAGATTATTGTGAGCAGCAGTGCGGCAGTGCGGCTGGTCGGTGCAAAGAAAGCTTGATGCTCAATCCAAACACTGTCTAGCCGCCAAATGCAGACTGGACTCCAGCCTCAATCTGTTCAGATCCTTCACGCTTGTTGGCAGGTGTTGGAAAAAAGCGGTATTGAAAGTGCCGGCCCAAACACGCACACACACACACCCCCCCTTGATACCAGCGTATCAGTCCTCTCCCAAAACTCATGGACCAACAAATCAACTATGAACTCCGTACCAAATACTTCTAATTAGGGCTCACCAACTCCCCGTCCTTGACTGACTGCTGTGGGCCAAAACCCGCTACCCCAAAACCTTGGTTGCTTGATCATGTCTGGTAGTCTCTGAGAAAGTCATTTTCAGTCAGGGCCTGGGGTCCCCCAGTTTTTGACCACATCTGCAGATCTGCAGATCTCTGCAGGACCCAAAATTCCTTCCCGTCGTAGTTGGTTAAACGGCCTTTTTCGCAGTCATGTGAGGTCATCCTGATCCAGCAGCTGCTGGTAGTCTTCAATCGAGGCAAACCTTGGAACTTGCCCAGGCGAGGGGGTAATCATAGACGCCACACAAACACACACACACACACACACGCAAACACATGCATGTACTTTGACAGTGAGAGTTTGGAATTGTGCTCTGTTGGTCAGCGGCGTGACAAGAATGGAAAGGCTTTCAAGGGGCATGGACGATTCCTTCCGCTTCTTCTTGAGCTCTTTCAATTTTTTTCTGCTGGGCTCCTCTGACAACATGGTAACAAATGCCACAAGGAACCCTACCTTGGAATTCCAACTTGGTGCATGATGCTGCATGTGTTTAGATCGCTGACCTAAGCACGAGCAGAGCGGGTGGCGGTCCTTCTTTCCCTTCAGCTCTTTGACCACATCTTCTTCGTCCGCGTCAGCGTCGCAGAACATGCCAGCCTCACTTTCCTCTGAAGTACCTGCCGTTTTGTCTGCTCGGGTCCGTGCGAGGCATTCTGAAACATAGCAATTCCAAGTGAGTGGTACAGTCGAACACGCCACCTTCACCTCCGTCATCCTCTCCAGCATCATCATCCTCTTCCTCCTCGTCGTCATCGTCGTCGTCATCTTCGTCCTCATCGGCATCACCCACGTCCTTCAATTCTCCCTTCAAGTATTCATCGAAGAACTCGTCTACTTGATTCTCCTGTGGCAGCGAATCAGCGGATGACTTCTTGAAAGTCAGGGCCTAGTTAGACATTGCAAAACTGAGCTCCAAGCCTGGACATCTTCTTCATCCACGTCATCCAAGTCCTTTGTTCGGGCTTTTTTCTTTTGCTCCGTGGCCTTTCGGACGGTGGGGTCGCTGAAGTAAGACTTGAAGAACCTGGCCAAAGTCAGAAACCAAACAGTCAAGCACTCAGAAAAACGCATGCGACGGTAAAGCCTCTGGTGAGGTTGGACACTCTTGCGCTTCAAGAAGGTGTCAGAGTTCATTGTCACAGGTTTCGCGGTCTCCTTACGCAAAGCAGCAAAGAATTACTAAGCGGCTAAGCGTGGCATAAGTGGCTTCTCCAACATGTGCTCTGCCACGCCAAGAATAGCTAGGTGCCTTCTTGCCCGTCATGCGGTCTCGCTTGGCACGAGAGTGGTAGGCAAACTGCTCGAGCAGCTCCGAAATGGAAAACGTATCAAACGGCTTGGAGGGGAGATCCTGGCTGACTACTGTAGGACGCGGCACTATGTCTTTGTTGGCAGGTTTGTCCTACAGAAATACAATGTAGCAAGAGTTCTCACGAGTTCAATTGCCAAACAAACATCATGCTCACCTCGTGCTAGGGACATGCAACAGCTGCTCCTGGTACACTTCTGAATGCACCAATTTCTGTGCATAGTGCGCAACACTGGGATGAACATGACCTCAGCCGTCAAACAGGCACAGTGCAAAGCACTTCACAGTGGCTTTTGCCACAGTGCAGTGCCACGAGTTGCCAACTCTGCAGCCTAGAAACTCGACAAGGCTTGCAGCTCCCAGAATGGAGTGTCTCGTGCTCGGGCAAAGCGCGGCTCACGATGCAAAGGATCGTAGCCTCGCTCCTGTTGGGAATTTGCGAATGCTCTGCAAGAAGCTGTGCCGTTTTTGAAAGTTCTTCAAGAACATCCACAAAAAACTGAAACAACTGTAAACCATCCAGGAGAAACACAAACATCACACACAATGAAATCCCCATCCAGTCCTCCGACTTCTGAGCGCTTGCTTGAGCAACATCATCGTCCACAAAATGCTCTTCCTCTGCTGCCAGCCCCTCCTCTTCCGGCACAGCGACTTTGGAGTCAATGGAGTGAAGCAAAGGTTGTATCTCGATCCTGCCAACTTGAGCTCAAACTGCTGCATGATTGGCAAAGCTATGTGATGGTTGGCGGGTGTTTGATGAGATTTGATGAGGTACATTGACAACGAAGCTCTGCCCACGCATTCGCCTGGTAAGTAAGAAATGCAAAACAAGTATATAACTTCAAAAAAGAAAAACACTAATCCTTCGTGCTGCGAAGAGATCTCGCATCACGCCCAGGGCAGCCACTGTCACCATTGGCTCTGTGCCAACGCCAAGCTGCCTTAAGCAGGGGACTACGTGTCACCGAGCTTCGCTGGGTGTTGAGGAGCTCAGCTAGAATGAATCGACCCCGACACTGGAGCTGCAAGTGATGCATGCAAAACGCTTTGAGGCCAGCACAGCAGTCGTCGTGCGATTGCTGCTCCTCGTGAACAAGAGGAGTCGTCTGGCACGCACTTCCTCATGAGTCTGCTGGTGAGCGGCGCGAAAAAGCTGGTGAGGACAATCGAGGCTCAAGCACGGGAGGCATAGGAGTAGTTTTGTGACTCAAAACTTAGACTCTCGACTTCACACTCGATCAGATAAACACTAGTAAAAGGCTGATTGGGAGTCTCACAGCGTGTCTTGGCACAATTCTTTCCTCGAAGCTCAGTTTGTACATTGCAAAGCCATGCGCAAAGCCATGCCAAACCTTCCTTGCACAGTATGTCTAAAATCCAGAGCTAAGCTAGGGCTCTGAAGCAGCATAAATGCTTGCCAGGAATGAGAGCTGGTGAAGAAATCAAAGTTTCCCAGCTGCTCGTAGAGCAGCCTGGGCCAGGTCATCTATTGATCCACTGTGAAACAGCGCGACGCCAGGGCCTGTAGAATCGGTCGGGGGGATCACCCGAACGATGTGCTCGGTACAGAAGGCCCAAAATACTGACCTTGGCAAGCCGAGGCACTGAAAGCCTAAAGGATTTGGCTACTAGGAACAAGTGCATCGCTACTAGTAACAAATGCCTTACTAGTAGTAACTTGAGGCCAGAGGGGGTGAACGAAAGCTAGCCGGGCTTCCGGTGGTCTGCTGCTGGTGCTGCTGCTGCTGGTGCTGCTGCTGCCGCTGCTGCGCTGGGCGCTGCTGCGCTGGGTGCTCTGCAGGCGCCGGGTCGTCTGCTGCTGCTGCTGCTGGCGCTGGGTGGTCTGCTGCGGCTGCTGCTGCCGCGGCGTTGGGTATGCTGCTGCTGCTGCCGCCGCTGGGTGGTCTGCTGCTGCTGCTGCTG